ATTCAAAATATAAATATGTTTAAAAAGTTTTTAAAATACAAATAGTAAATATTTAAAAAACTAATAAAAAACTTAGATGTTTAGCTATGTAAAATACTTAGTACTAGGGTTATATAATGTAAGAGTAGATCAGTTTTATTTGTGATAATGTTATTAAAAGTTAAATTAATTTAAAGTTTATTTGACAACTTGATGATGCAATATTGTATAGTAAAAAATATAAAAGTAGGAATTGATCAATTTATAATTATTCTTTTACATTATTTTTTTGTATAAACTTGTATTTAACAATTTCTTGTATAGTAGTGTTGTGTGTAAGTAGCAATAAAAGTTAATAATACAGAAGAGATTAAAGTCAAAAAAACAAAACAAGTGCAAAATCGTAAACATTTAAGGGGTAAATCATGGCTAATAGGTATAAAATAATTGATATTTAATAGTAATATATGGCAGGTATCTACTTTTAAAATTTATTATTAGTTAGAATCCCAGAAGATTTTAGCACAAAATGTCGCAGAATAAAAAATATATAATATAATTTAAAAATAAAAGACAAATAGATTCAAATCTTGATTACAGCCTATTTGCTCAAAACTGGTAGAATAAAATATAAAAATTGCAAATAATAGCACTTTAAATCTTTCTTTCTATCTTTATATAAGTGTGATAACTAAAATAAATAATTATAATTTTGTTTTATCTGTAACAGACTAATAAAGATCAAGAATAACTTTAGTATTAATGAATATGGCTAAGCTTTAAGTGCAAGAAAATAGATTTTATTGTATTGAACAGACTAGTTTATACAAGAGATTTGTATTATTCTTTATATACTGTTTGTTAAGCTTTTTTCACTTACAATTACTAATTTTATTACTACTCAATTACTTTATATTTACTAATTAATATTACTCAATTACTTCATATTTCATGTGCATAACTACTCGATGACTGCATAATTCATGCAAATTTTATAGTGACTATTATACGAATTTGTCAGAACCGTAATCACAGAGCAGAGTCCCAGGTCTAGTTGTTATACCATCCCTCCTTAATGATCCTCCTTTACCTTTTTTGCTTTTGAATTTTGACATTCTAGGATGTGGTTTGTTAAAGTAATGCAGATAAAAGATTTCTACAGCTTCTCGAGCATGGGTTATATTTTTAGCTAGTTCCCAAGACCATTTAGTAATATTATAGCCCTTCCATTTGATTAGGTAGTATAATTTTTTTCGAATTACTTTGGCATCAAGTATTTCATTAATTTTGTATTCATTTTCACCTTCTATGACCACAGGAGGTAGTGGCTCCAATGATCTGCTAGGAATTGTGTTGGCTATATAGGGTTCTAGTAAGGAAATATAGAAGGTGTTGTGGATCTTAAAAGTAGGAGGTAGTGTTAAACAGTAAGTAACTGGGTTGATTTTTGCAGAAATAGTATAAGGCCTAGCTGTTAGTAATCTAATTTCTTAGAGGGCCATGTGGTGTAAATATTATGGTATAAGAGCCTAACTTTGTCACCAAATTTAAAATTGGGCCCCTTTTGTCATTTTTGATTTGCATTTGTCTTGTAATGTTTTTGAGCTAATGTCAATTCTTCAATGAGCATTTCTTTTATATGTTGTAGTCAAATAGCCTTCTCTTCTGCCAAAGGTGCTAAAGAATAGAATAGTGTTTGTAAATCGAAGTGAGGATAGAAACTGTAGTTGGCAAAAAAGGGTGTAGTCTTTGTAAAACTGTGAATTGAGTTGTTGTAGGCAAATTCAGCTAATGGGAGTAAGTCTACCAATCTTCTTGATGATAGTTTATTGTATATCTCAAATATTGTTCTAACACTTGATTTACCCTCTTACTTTGCCCATCTGACTGAGGATAGTATGTTGAGGATAGATTGACATGGGTTCCTAGTAAGTTAAATAAGTGCTTTTAGAATTTAAAGGCAAACTGCGGCCTCCTGTCTGAGATGATGTCTTTTGGAACTCTGTGAAGCCTTATTACTTTCTTTAAAATTAATTATGCTGTTTGCTAGCATTGATATTTTTGTTATATGTGACTAAGTGTGCTATTTTTGTTAACTGATCGACTATAACAAGAATAGAATCGAACCCCAGGATATAGATAGATCAGTGATAAAGTCTATAAAAATTGACTGCAATTGCTGAGTAGGTATGTGTAGAGGAACTAGCAACCCGTAAGGGCATTGTCTAGAAGCTTTTGATCTAGCACAAATATCACAGGATTTAATATAGCTTTTTACAAAGGATCGAAGTTTTGGCTACCAATAATCCTGTATTATTAGTTCTACTGTTTTGGCTACTCCAAAATGTTCTGCTAATTTTAAGTCATGTCTTTGTTGTAATACTCTTAACCTTTCTGGTATGTTTGGTATATACACTAAACCTCCTCTAAACAGCAACCTGTCAGAATACTAAAACTTGTAATAGTCTGAACATTTTCCTGAACTGTTCTCCTTGGGTCACTTTATTTGTTCGATTATGTCTAAGGCTAGAGAATCTTCTCTTAAATGATTATGGATTTGGTTCTTTAGGGCAGTGTCGATTGATATGATGAAAGTAGCATCTATGTGAAGATTTTGTAACTTTAATAATATAGTGTATTGCTGAGTCAATGTCTCATCACCGTTTTGAGATTGGAAGTCTGATCTTCTAGACAAAGCATTTGATTTTTCTTGTTACTTTTCTGACTGGAATACAATTTTGAAATTGTAATTTGAAAAGAGAAGTGACTATCTGGCTTGATAGCAGCTAAGGTTCTTTACCATGATAAAGTATTGTAGTTTTTATGATTGCAATAGATAGTAATTTAATGTTGAGCTCCTTCCAGGTAGTGATGCCATTGTTTAAAAGCAGTTATTATTGCAAGTAGTTTCTTATTGTAAATGTTATAGTTAATTTCTGCAGATATTAGTTTTCTTGAGTAATAGGCAATGGGATAGAGTTTTTCTTCATGTAATTGGGATAGAATCACCCCAAGAGCGTAATCAGAGACATCAGTTTCGAGAAAATATGGTTTTGATAAATCAGCTTGGGCTAGTACAGGGGCAGAGGTGAAAGCGTTCTTTAAGGAGGTGAAAGCTTGTTGAGCTGCTATAGATCAACCAAAGTTCTTTACTCCTTTCTGGGACCTTTGAGTTAGATTAGTTAAGGGGTAACCAACTGCGAATAGCTATTAATGAAGTACTGATAATAGTTGGCAAATCCTAGAAATCGTTGTATCTCTCGAACTGTAGTTAGAGTAGGCCAGGTAAGGATGCATTCAACTTTTTTTAGATCCATTTGGATCCCTTGGTTGGTGATGTGGTAACCCAAAAAATCTACACTGTCTTTATCAAATTCACATTTTTCTAATTTGCAAACAAGCCATTTTGGCACAGCTGTTCTAATACTAACCTTACGTGCTAGTCACGTGCTTCTTGATCAGGTAAATATCATCCAAGTAGATAATTACAAATTGATTCAAAAATTCCCTGAATATCATTTATTAAGTGTTGGAATACAGCTGGGGCATTAGTGAGCCCAAAGGGCATCACTAAGTACTCAAAGTGATCATATCGTGTACAAAAGGCTGTTTTTCAGGTCTTATACAAATTAAGTAGTATGCCCTTCTTAAATCAATTTTGGTGTAAACTCGGGCAAGAGCAAGTCAATCCAACACTTCAGAGATTAAAAGAAGTGGGTATTGGTTTTTGACTATTATCCGGTTCAGACCCTAGTAATCAACACACATATGCAAGGTGCCATCTTTCTTTTTGACAAAAAGTACAGGTGCTCTTGCTGGTGATTTTGAATATCGGATGAAACCTTTTTCAAGGTTTTTTTCAATATACTTCCTCAAAGTCTCGAGCTCTTCTGTAGATAGTCTATAAATGGGCCCTATAGAGGTTGCATTCTAGATAATAAGTCAATTGCACAATCATACTGCTAAGTTTCAGGCTGTTTGTTAGCTTCTTTTTTATTGAAAACATCACTAAATTCTTTATATTTTCCAGGAAGTGATTGGAAAGAATTTGTGAGCTTCGAAGAACATGAGCTAAATGCTATAGCAGTAAAAACTTGAACCATAAAAATTTGTTCTCCTGTGTTGGTGCTAAGTGATACTGAACTTGAAAAATGGTTTTTACAGACTGAATCAGAAAAGATAATAGAACACTTATACCAATTGATGTCAGAATTGTGTAGGAATAACCAAGGTAAGCCTAGAATTATTTTGTAGTGAGGTGATGAAATAAGGTTGAAAGAAATTTTTTTATAAAGGTTTTAGAAGTTCAAAAGTAATGGTCCTGATTCATGTTTTACAGTTCCAGATGAGATTTTCTAACCATCAATTACTTCTACAGTTAGTGGTATTTTTTTTTCTATTATAGGTAGTTTATGTCTCTGGGCTAAAGTCATATTCAAAAAACATGCTGAAGCACCCAAATCAATCAAAGCCTGTATGTTTATTTGAGCAACATATGGTAGATATAAATTCAAGGTTAGTGTAAAAGCATTTGTAGGTTTATCAGGTAATAGATATTCTGGGAGTAAACTAATTGCATGATCCAGTCGAATCTCCCCTACTGCAACTGGGTCTCCTCTTTTCCAAACATCTCTGCTGTGGTCACTATAGCATCAATTCTTTTGTTGTTCTATATTTCTTGGGGCAACTCCTTGCAAAATGACCCAGTGCACAACAGTATAAGCAAAGGTTGTTTGTGTAGCACTATTTTTTTTCTTTTTTAGTTAAAGGTCTAAATCTTGCAACATCAATTTGCATTGGCTTCCCAGCAAAGAGTATTGAATCTTCAAAGGTCTGGGATTGGTATTTTTGTGAAAAAAGGTTTCGATGACATTCCTGTTTTCATTCAAAGAGACTATTGTCACATCTAACTGCTTTAGAGATGGTATCGTTTAAAGAGGTGGGTCTTTAATGGTGAGCAACAAATCCTTTATATCATTCTGAAGCCTAGTTCGAAACTGATCTATCAATGCTGCTTTGCCTTAATCTAAATCACTAGCAATTTGCTGGAATTTAGAAGCATAACTTAATGCTAGTTTTGGGCCTTGGGTAAGTTTCTGAATTTTATTTGCTGCTGTTCTGGATTTGACTGAGTCACCAAAAGTTGCTTCAAACTCTTTGACCAACTCTGTAAAGTCCTTGAGTAATAGTGATTGCTTTTTCAATAATAGGGCAAACCAAGCCAAAACTAGGCTAGTAAATAAGCTTCTAAGTAGTCCCACTTGAGATTGGTCATTGGAATAACGATTAGGTTGCATGCATATGACCAGGCAAACTTGATTCAAGAAGCCTCTAAAGTTAGCTCTTGACCCATTGAACTTATCCAGAAGGCTAACCTTAGGTTCTTTATGATAATTAGCACCATCTTGGACATGAAGTTGTTCAAGAGTATTTCTAAGATCTGTATTTTCTTGGTAAAGTGCTTGGTTGTCTAACTGGATTTGGTTTAGTACTGTCAATATGTTGTTGAGATCAGGTTGGTCATCATCAAACTGTAGTAACAAAATTTGGTGTGTTTGCAATGTAAATCTCAACAGGCTAAAATATACTAGTGTGTATTAATTAATCAAATAGTTAGTTTCTAGAAATAGGGTTTTAGAACTTGAAAGTAGTCTGTTCAAACTGTAACAAACTGATCAAGATCAAGAATAACTTTAGTATTAGTGAATATAGCTAAGCTTTAAGTGCAAAAAAATAGATTTTATTGTATTGAACAGACTAGTTTATACAAGAGATTTGTTTTTTTTTTTTTTTTATTTTTTTTTTTTTTTATTTTTTTATATTAAAGGTGAGGTCTTGCTTGTATCTTTATTTAATAATTTATATAAGTGATTACATAAAGCTATATA